ATAATAATATAGTATACGAAAATTTATATTTTATTTTTAAATATCGTGACCTATACAACATTGCACACGAATTATATATTGTATTATTGAGGGAGAAAAATTAATTTTTGAAAGTCAAAGATAATTATTTTAAACTCAAAATATTATATTTTGTTTTCTATTGCTCTAAACGGAAATCAATTCGAACTTGTTTAAGGCCCGTGCACAAAGATCCGAGAAATCTAGCTCAGAGGAGGAGGCGGACGAAGAAGATGATGAGTGTGTAGAGCTCTTACGCCTTACCCATAAAGTAAGTACCTACTTATATTATATAAGACACTCATCGTCGTTCATTATCATTACAAGTTTATAGTTTGGAATTGTTTTATTCACACTGCCGTGTTAGGTTATTATAAACTTTGTTTCTAATTACAATATAATATAATTTAAATTTTAAATAGTGGTAACACTATTAAATATAAATAAATATAAATAAATCACGGTTGAACTTTGAATTTAAAAGATGGATAATAAACGCAAAAGATCCTCTCTGGACGATGACTGCGGCAATCGTATCAGAAAAGTTGCCAAAAAGGATACCATGACCATAAGTAAGTGTAGTACCTATAGTATAAATAAGTTTTTACTGTTCTGTAACTAAATGTTTTATCGTTCAGTTAATGTGAAATTATCTAATATAATATTATTGTTTAATACGATAGTAATATAATAAAATAATTAATTTCATATACCCAAAGTATATCTAGTAACTGGTAACTCTGCAAGTTGACCCCGCTCCCCCCTTGAATAATAACGAGATAAGCCCATATAATATTATACGGTCTCGATAATAGTACTTAGCTTATTTTTTTTAAAATAACAACAGTAAAGCCCGGAATGATTTATTGGGAGGGGGCCAATTGCGTATACAACGCGTACAATTTTTAGGAATTTCGATTGTACCTATACACAAATAATTAATTATATATATATTGTACCTATGTGTCTATTGTACTTGTATAATAATATAATATTAATAATTTTCTACGCAGCAGAAGACATGTCTGACGCAAGTAGTACCGATGGACGAGAACCACAAGCTGTAAGCTGTGAAGTAAATATATCATACCCATTTATACAAAATAATATTAAAGTCTAATAATTGGACAATATCTGACGTGCTAAGTGTTAATTTACTATTATAGAGGCCGAAAATCCCACGTTGCGGTCATGCAGATTCGTCAGATCGAAACATATCGATCTTTCCATAAGAAATATCCATATTAACCGGATGTCCGTTAATCGGCAAGTCGTCTTGATTGTGAGAGATCGATATGTCTCGATCTGACAAATCTGAAAACAATCAAAAACAATCAAGACGACTTGCCGATTAACGGACATCCGGTTAATATGGATATTTCTTATGGAAAAAGCCTCGGTGAAGTAAGTACTCGTCTTACATATTAGAGTCTAATAATACTTTTTTAATACTTTTAGTGAAGTATTAAAATAGTTGTGATGTATTATGATCACACGGCGTTTAGGATAGGCTTTCTCACCACACCACTGACGCGTTTGTCTGTTTTTCCAGAATTTTATTACTTTAGTTGATATAATTATAACATACTTAAAACACACCAAAGTAACATAATATAAGTGAACAAGTAACACTGTTCGTGCAAGTAAAATGTAATAATTATTCAAATTAGTACCTAATATAATAATATTTAAACAATAAATATAGTATTTTATAGTGTGACGAAATGATTAATACCTGAAAACGAGGTTGGAAAACATTTTCATTATCTAATTAAACGTTTCATTCGTTTCAAACTTTATGTTTTTTTTAAATATATTAAACGTGTTTTAATTTTTTTTTTTAAATAATTTTCTTTTTTAAATATTTATCAATGATTTCGTTAAAAAATGTATTGCTTAAAAATACAAAAGAATAATGTATGATATTTTGTTTATCAAATTTAAATTTAACTATTTACTAGTTTTTATTTTTAAACGTCGATTAAACAATATATGTACACTTTACAGTATATTATAATAATATTATAGTATACGAAAATTTATATTTTATTTTTATATCATGGCCTATGTGACGCGGACACGAATTATATATAATATTATGGAGTGAGAAAAAATATTCTTGAAAGTCGACGATTATTATTTTAAACACGCCGACTATATTATAATATTTTGTTTTCTATTACTCTAAACAATAAAAATCCGTCTGAACTTGTTTAAGGTACGTGGAAAATTTGTGAAAAGATCGTCTGGGTACTGTCCCCTTCATCGCTCATCATGATAGCAGTATTACCCGCCGAAAATCCCGAAATTTATAAATTTATCATGTTGCACGTTTGTCAATATGTTTGTTTGTTTTTTTTTTTTTGTAAATATGTAAACATGTTATATTCAGTGGTGCAGTCGCAAATAGGTTAGGCTTGGCTTTGGTTAATTTTGAAAATAAATCATTCATACTTCTATTTTTACTGTTTGGCGCCATATTAAGCCGTCGTCAGACAGACAGAATAGAAGTATGAGAATTTGAGAAAAAAACAAAAAACCCTCCACTACACCACTGATGTATGATGTGCATTATAGCTCGATGATGCTTTTTTTTGTATAATACTAGGTATAATAAACTTGTTAAATGTCTGGCAAATCATCACCAATGTCAAACAAATTATACCTATCCAATATAATTTATATTGTTCCTTATGTTATATAAAACTATTTATTATTATATTGTATTACTGCTCACTTGTTATAATGTTTGTACGAAATTATATTGAATAAGTAAAAAAAAAAAACACGTGTACATTTTTTTGTAATTTTTTATGTCAAAAATATAATTTGAAGAATACAACCTTTATAAGAACATTATATGGTGAAAATGCAATGAAAAAAATATTTATCTTCCTAACCATTCTGTTGTGAAATGGGTGTGGAGACGTTTAGAGTGTACTTTGTCATTGAGAGGACGCCACACGGCCATTATTGTTGTCTCCGTCTTACAAGTGCTTAACATGGAAAATGTGCACTCGGAAAATCAAGTACAGCTAAGTTAGTTTAAACATTACAGTGAATCGACCTGTTACGAAACTCGATGTTAAGAACATTATCTGTGATTGCGTGTGGGTTTTTTACAATAGTTAAATTTTTTTAGCAAGTTATTCGTATAGTATAATGTTTTGTAAATTAAAAATACTCACAACTCGTTTAAAAACTGAGTTATCGTGAAAAACCCACACACGAACACGGATAATGTTCTCACCAACAAGTTTCACAAATGCGAACAATAATAATCGTGGTCAAAATGGATTGGAGGCGTGTCCCGCTCGCATGAAAAATTTGAAAGATTTAATAATATTTTAAATTCTTATCACATATAATATGGGGTTGTGTTTGATAAACGATAAACGTACGATTATTTTGTTTTTGATTTAAAAATATTTATTTTAATACGCATGATATTTTGGGCGTATTACCAGCAGGCCCACCTGCTGGACGTGCATCTGAGCGTGTAACCACTAACCGCTACGCACTAACCACTATGGCCCAGTGCCGTAAAAACCGGGTGTGCAAAGTGTGCACCGCACACAGGCCTCGGGCCTCATAATATATCGAAGTTAAAGTTCCAAAAAGAATTGTCAACAATAATAATATTATACCAGGTGCATTATTTTATCAGCCTGGAGGACATACCTAATATGACACCGGACCACAGTGCAATTGCACAGTGGCCCGGTCCACCCCCCGGCACAATCATTTTCTATGGACCCTTTAAAAAAAAACCTTTTACCCATATAGGTCATTTTATTTTCTATGTAGGTGCAATTAATATCATAACTTAGTACTTACTACAGGTAACTAGAGTAGTTGAACATCATAAACATGGTAGGTATTATAATATTATTATTAGTTTATTTGTGTTAAATTTATTTAAGTTAATATAAATAAAATAAAATAGTGTATAGGTACATCCTTTAAAAAATATAATTTCACTGATTGACAAATGACAATGTTTTGGTAAAAAATGTATACTTTTTGATGATTAAATAGATACAAAATTAAAAATATATAATAATATACCTATATATCTACCAAGTACTATCTGCAGTAGGTACGTTATTTAATTGGAAATTTGGAAAGTCAGTAGTCAGAATCTTGAGTTAACTTAGATTTATTTTTAAATTTATTTTCCATTTGACTAGGGCCCCAATATATAAAAATATCCAAGAGCCCCCGGCGATCGCCGGGTAGCCTTGTTGGCCAGACCTGCACTGAAGAAGACCCCTCCTAGCCTATAACACAAATACCACGAATCAAGATAATATACCTTAATAGTAACTATAAATTATTATACTTCTTAATTCACACAACTTTAACATCAACTCTGAGGGTCCGAGGATCACCGATTGGGAACCACTGTACCAGAGTTTAGGATTACGTGTCGTGTACTCGTGGACATATCTATATACAACCATAACACAACCGTGGTCAATACTTCTGTAATCTGCAGTTCTGCACCATGAATCATGATAGTAATTTTTAGAATGATACTATAATTCTCCATCAACTCGTCTATATTGGATGTAGAATGAATATAAATTATTATAAAATAATTAAATGTTTTCTGTGACTGTAGTCCATAGAGTAGTCCGTCTTACATGTTATAAAATATTATCTAATGACTAATTAATTATGATTTAATAATTTACATGCACTTTTTTTTTTTATCATTTTATCCCTATTTGTCAGCACTCCAAGAATAATATCTCAAGTATAATATTGACGTTTAATTTTCGATAGATAACAATCTTAATTTTTTTAATAGGTTCAATATTCATATTACCTAGTATATTCCCTATTGGCTATATTTAATATGTTTTTCTGTACACTCGTGAATTAAACAGCAAATAATAAAAATAATTGTCATAACTCTCAATAGTTACCTATAGTTTATTAAGCGTTTTAATTGATTTAAAATTTTGAATTAAAATAATATGGCTTTTACACCAGGATCAGCCGTTTCTCCGTCTGCCGATATTGAGTTAGCTTTGGCATGCAGGTAAATGACGTGTAATTGAATAATAATAATATAGGTACATCCCAAATCCCAATACTCTGTTAACCCCATGAAGACCGAATTGTGTTTTTCTACTGCCGAGTACTTGTAGTGACAGTCAACAGATGTTTTATTAATTTCATTTTGAACATACACTTACCTAATAACAATAGTTGTTGAATACATTTTAATGGTTACAACATAATTTGAAAGCAAATTATTGTTATTATATTATTTTAATATACTCAATAGTGCGTAGCTAACCTATACATATTTTATTATTTTACATTATTACAGTGTTTGTACTGTGGAGAAGAAAATAAAATAAATATTTCATATATTTCTATAACTAGATTGTAAAAAGAAATTTTATACCCAAATGCTTTGATTAAACTCATAGTAAGCTTGCTTTTAATACATATATGTGTGTGTTCATGTAGGTACTATTAAAAATATTAAAACAATTTTTTTTTTTAATTTAAATTTCCAATATAAAATAATAATCTAAAAGTTACTTTTAATTAAATATTTACCTAAATAATTTGATATTAAAATAAAATAATAAGCGTATGAAAACAAAAATGTTGACTAAAATCAAAATATGATGAAAACCACAATTTTGATTGATCCTACTTAGTACTTACCATTAAAAATTGTACTTTACCTCTTATTATTTTTAGGGGGCTGTCTGGTACAGATGTTATGTCAAAATCTGACCCGATGTGTGTAACATATGTACAACCTTTTGGCCAAAATAAATGGGTAGAGTTTCACCGAACTGAAACTGTCAAAAATAATCAGGATCCAAATTTTGTTTCCAAAGTATTGATAAGCTACAGATTTGAAGAAAAACAGCCGCTGTTGTTTGAAGTGTACGATACTGATTCAAAAGATAAAGATTTGTCAGCACATGATTTTCTTGGAACTATTACAATTCCTTTGGGACAACTTGTTGCTAACAAACGTGTAAGAAAATCTATGCTACACTGTAGGTAGAGGTACTCTGTTCATAATAAATTATTGTTGTTATTGTGTTTAGAACAAGTTACAACTGACAGATCGTGATGGTCATTTAAAAAGTAGTTATTTAGTTATAACAGCGGAAGAATTGGGTATGGATAGAGATGAAGTAATATTAGAAATGAGCGGATTTAAATTGGACAAAAAAGATTTCTTTGGTAAATCTGATCCATTTTTGGAAATCTTTAAGCTTACAGATACTGGCAATTACACATTGGTTTATAAAACTGATGTAAGTAAAAAGTTCAAATATATTGACAATAAATAATAATATGGTTTTATAAAATGTCTTATTAAATATTTTTTTAAAGGTTATTAAGGATACATTAACTCCTCGATGGAAGAAATTTACTATTCCTGTTCGGACATTTTGTAATGGGGATTATGAACGTGATTTAAAAATTATTTGTTTTGATTGGAATTCAAGTGGTGATCATAGCCTGATTGGTGAATTTCATACCACTCTAAAAGGTCTCTCAAATCCTAATGCTACTTTTAAATGCATTAATGGAAAGAAAAAAGTAATTATTGTTTTTATATATTCCTATTGTTATCTTATTCAATTTTCTATATACTATATTGCTTGATAAACATTTTTTTTCAGGAAAAAAAAAAAGATTATAAAGATTCTGGAGAAATACGTGTAGAATACATAAAAATACAATCTACTTATACATTCTTAGATTATGTCCAAGGAGGAACAGAGATATTTTGTACAGTGGCTGTTGATTTTACTGGTAAAATAAGTTAATAATTTCCATAAAAATGTTTTAACAAATTTAATACTTTTATTTAATTAAAATGAAATATTGGTATGTTGTTTAATTTACCATGATTTAAAAGACTAAATGTATTTGTTTGATTAAAACATTTAAAAACCTGAAAAAAAATTATAGTTATAGTTTTATTCACTGTAATTTATGTAGAATATATTATTTTATTTTTTAGCTTCAAACGGTAATCCATCAAAACCATCATCTTTGCATTTCATAAATAATGCAGGTATGAATAGTTATGAACAAGCAATGTGGAGTGTTGTATCTATAATTGAAGACTACGATTCTGATAAACAATTCCCTGTGTTGGGTTTTGGAGCTAAAATACCACCTAATGGACAAGTATCACATGAATTTTTTGTTAATATGAATCCTGAAAATCCACATTGTTTTGGCGTAAGAGGTATATAAACTGAAACCAAATAAATTATTAATGATTTTTCTAAATTTATAATATTTATAATTTTAAATTATATTATACTTAGGTGTGTTGGATGCATATCGTCATTGTATTAATCAAGTGCAGTTATATGGACCTACAAATTTTGCGCCTGTTATCAATCATGTAGCTAAAATAGCTCAAAATAACCGAGATGGGAGTGGTTATTTCATTTTACTTATACTGACTGATGGAGTTATTACTGACATGCCAGATACCATACAGGTAATGTTATTTGTTGGGTTTATTTAATTTATATTTTAATTTGATGTATTACCCTGTTCCTAATATATGCATTAATATTTTGAGCATATTTTCTAGCATGCTCATATAAAAGTAAAATAGTAGTTTATTTTTTATAAAATCTTTATAAAAATTTAATTAGTATAGCTCATGCTTTTAGAGTGGTTTTGATTGTTTTGAAATTAAAATTTTAAATAGTAATTATATATTTTATAAATACCCAGCCCTGTATCTTGTGCGGTACCGCGAAAAAATAACCCCGGAAATTTAGACCCCGAAAAAAAGAACCCCGAAAAAAATAACCCCGCGAAAAAATAACCACCGACAAAATAACCCCATAGGCCAAATTGCCATAATATGAGATTTTGCAAATTAATCTCAAATCAATACAAAATGTATAACATACCTATTGGCTATTACCTACGTACAATATTAATTTTGGATTCAATGATAAATTATTGTATATACCCACGATAAAAACAATTCAGAGCTCTATATCAGAACTCTACATCATACGAATTGAAAAATATAGTGCATTTTTTACTGTTTTATACTGTTTACTTGAAAAAAAAAATCAATCTATTTACGAAATAATATTCAAAGCTATTTTATCAGTCTGCGAAAAGAACGATCTTTTTCCAGATCCACAAAATATAAAAATAGACTTCGAAAAGGCATTAATAAATGCAGCAAAAAATGTATTATAGGTGAACATTTAATAATAAACGGATGTTTCTATCACCTATGCCAGAGTAGGTACTCATAGAAAATTGGCAGAATTAGGATTAAAAAAAAAATACCAAGAAGATTATGATTTTAATGAATTCTGTGGTACCTACCTATGTTAGATGGCTTGGCTTTTTTACCACTAAATAGGTTACAAGAAGGTGTTGAATATTTAAAATCAATTATTCCTCCGAGGAGTTATTTCAATATTTTGACGAAACCTACGTGATGTGTAACAATACTTCGAATAAATAAATAAATAATAAATTTTTATTATAGGTTTATTTTTTCCGTGGTTATTTTTTCGTGGGGTTATTTTTTCGGGGTTCTTTTTTTCAGGGTTATTTTTTCCGGGGTTATTTTTTAGGCAAATCATCTTGTGCATATCATTTTTACTTGTATTTTTAACTATCTATTAATTAAACTGTTTAAAATAAATTATTTAATTATTACTATCCCTTTGTTTTTCAGGCTATTATAACAGCATCTTCATTACCAATTTCTATAATTATTGTGGGTATTGGAAATGCAGAATTTGATGCAATGGAAGAATTGGACGCTGATAAAGGAGGACTAAAAATGAACGGAGTTAAAGCAGCAAGGGATATTGTCCAGTTTGTTGCGTTTAACAGTTATCATAATCTTGACCCTAGTGTTGCTAATTTACATTTAGCAAAAGATGTATTGGCCGAAGTACCTAAACAATTTATGGACTATATGAAGATTAACGGTATTGTGCCTAAAAGGAGAGCATCTCAAACCACAACACCAGAGATTGAGGATTTAAAAATTCAATGAACTAATTAATAATTGTAAACAGCTTTAAATCAAATTTTCTTTTTTCTAAATCTATTGGTGCTATGTTCTATTTCTTTTAAAATGTATACTATAACTACACAACACTATTTAATTCATATAACTAAGGTATATGGATCTTTCATATGGATGCAAAAGTTGAATTTATATTATATTTATACAAATTTTAAATTATTTTATCTTGCTAGCATTTTAAATTTTTATATAAAATGTACCTACTTACATAATTGAATTTATTTTTAAACACTTATACAATATAATATTTTTTATTTTACTATTTTAAATTGACCTTTTTATACTGGTAGATATACTTGATAATATTGAATTGTTTTTATATACAAATTTTTTATAAGCTCATGCTTTGTTTTAAGGCTCTAAACTAATTAACTAATTAAAAGTTTAATATTCTTTTAATTTGTATGCATTTATTACAAAAGTGTTAATTTAACACTAAGGCTCAGTTGGTTAAATATTAAATGATAATAACGTACCTAATTAATTCACTGAAACATTTTATTTTTTTATTTATTATTTTTATGAAAGTTAGTTTTAGTATACCAGTTCACTGGCATAAATATACTGTGGTGTATCAATGAGGGGGTATGGTGGTCATAACCTCCTCGAGACCAATACAACAAGTAATAAATAATATGAATATATGTGCATACTGAATGTCTATTAAAATATTTATATCCCTCAACCCCTGTGAAAAAAATCTTATATACGCTACTGAAAACTAGCTCCCGGATGGGTGATCACCCTGGTTCATAGTAGTTAAAAACCTTGTCACACATACACGTGTTTGCTACTTACCCCATCAATTGTAAATCAACCTACCACCAACCTTACCCCTACCATAGTCCATAACCCCTACAACAGCTAATGGCCTTAATCGACGGGCTTAAGTTCAATTTAAAAAAAAAAAAAAAAAGTATGATACACTTATAATTTTAAAATATTAAAAAAATTGTTTTATCTATACCACGTTCAAAACTCTTCGTTTACCCCCTACTACAACTACTACCCTAAGCCCAACGGTATGCGCGGAATAGTTCTGGTTTCTCATTGAACGCGTTATATTTCGTATATTATTATGATACACTAAGAATAAATATTATTTTTTATTAGTTGTTATGACGTTATCCTAGTAATTAATTTCAGTACCTAATATATTTTACATTATTTATTGTATACTTGTTTTAAATCTCTTTGTAATACATATTATATCTAAAGAAATATATTATTATTTTTTTAAACTATTTATTGACTCATTATACAACTGGTACTTAGATACAATTAAATTGTATTACATATTTTCATAAATGCTTGTTAAATATTATAAATGTTTCATTATTTATTATGTAATAATATCTAACATATATTTATTTAAATTATCACTAATTTCTTATTTCTTTGTAATGAATATTTTATTTATTAATTATTTTTGTTAATTTCAATGGATTAGTTATTAATTATTATGAAATAAAGAAAATAAATATATCCGCTTAAAAGTATTTAATTACCTCTACTAATTGTATTAGTACTTTACCTTTTATACTCACTTTATGATGTATAATATTTATGCAGGTTCTGGATTTAACACGTATAGAAAGTATACTATACCTAGTAAAAATGTATTTTTTCACCAACTAAAAAAATTAAATAGGTACTATAAAGAACATGTTTCAACTAACAGTTGAACTATAATATTTTAACTAGTGCAGACAGGCTTTTACAATTAAAGTACCTCCTGGCTCCTGTATATTATATATAAGCAGTTACCAGTGTTGGACCAAATCTATTGTTAACCAACGATTAAAGTTTATAAGGACTATATTATCTAAATTTTGAGTATAAAATTAAAATAATATACATTTGTTCAAATATTGTCAATATTATGTATCAATATGTGATTATAATATATTAATACAAATTTTAAATGTATTTCAAACTTTTACAATTAAAAAAAGGTAGATACCGCTCTACTGTACATTAGTTTACAATATAATGGATGCCGGATGGTGTTAAATTTGAATTATATTATATTATATTAATATCATTGTATACAAAAAACGATTCTGAGCAGAGACAGTCAGTAAGCCTACATTGTAATATTTTTAAACTTAATAAATAGCAATAAAAAAAAAAAAGTGTATATACATAAAAATATAAACTACTAACAAATATGAACTACTTAAGAGACACCTTGTTTTAAATTTTCAATCCTTAGCTATCCTTTACTAAAAATTGTTTAATCTTGTAACTACACAAAGTATGTCATTTTCGAGATTTGGACGAGTTTTGCCAAATTTTAAACTTTGAATGATAATGACAAAAATCGTGCCTATATGTATGTTTAATATTACTATATAGCAACACGAGTAACCTATTATATTAAATAATCAATTTTTTTGCCATATTTTATTGACAAAATAAAAAAAAATCTTTTTTATCATTTCAAAAAAAAATTGAGAATGTTATGGTACATAGAAAATAAAGAAAATAAATATTTAATAATATTTGTTTTTAAATTATCATTATTTTTTAAATTAAACTAATAACAATGTATGAGGAACCTTTTATTAATTTTTCAATTTTTTTGACCGAGCGAAATATAATTACCTTATAATTGTAAAATAGCAACTGTCATGAAAAATTGTAAACTATAAACCTTGATTGTTGATGTATTAAAATATAATGATCAGTAAAAAAAAAAAAATTGCCAAGGGCTTCAATCAGTATAGAAGACCTAAGAAAAAAGAAGAAAAATAAAATATATTTTTAAAAAGTCACTTCCATAAAAACAATGAAATACCTATATTAGGTATTTAATTTAAATTTTTAGATTTTGAGTGGAGCGAATAGTATTGTATTTACAAAGTGTTTTTTTTTTCTATCATCAACATTTGAGGTAGTATAAATGCTCTGATTTTCAAAATCAGCATCTATTCTGAAAGAAAAGTGAATCTAGTTGGTACAAAATTGAAAATACCCAGTAGCTTTAGAAAGCCTCGAGTAAAATAAAAAAGTGAAAAAATCAATTTTATATTTTGTTATAAGTTATAACTCAAAAACTGTAGACATTTGGAGTGTTGTAAAAATATTTATACTAGCATTTTCCATGTATGTTAACTCTTTTTGAGTTATAGGCTATAGCCTTATAGCATTTAATCATTTTTAGATTATTGTAGATGATAAAGAGAATTTTCACTAGGTGAAAAAGTTTGAAAATTTAACACAAGTGTCCATTCATTAATAGCAGTTAAAAAATACTAAAAATACATTGGCATGATTATAAGACTCTGAGCGGAGCGAGGAGAGGAAGCTAGTGGTTTTACAATGGTGTTTTTTTTTTTTTTTTATATCCTGTATACAAAATTACTACCAAAAGGAGTGCTTTGATTTCAACATATAGTACCTTATCTTTTAGCAAATTGGATCAAGATGGTACTTTAAAGGTCATTTTTTGATTTTATCAATAGTTATTTAATGCCACAGTAAAAACCACCGAAAAAACCGTCAAAAATTGGATTTTAATTTCTAACACTTTGTTTATTACCATAGAACCGAATAAAAAATTATAATATTATAATATTAATTCGACTTACATGGTATAATAATTAATGACAATATAAAATAACTAGACTGACAGACCGTCTCCGCTCAGAATCGTTTTTCGTATACGATGATAGAATATCATTGAATTCAAGTTTAATACAATCCATTATACAATGACCCACTTGTAACCTACTGTACAGCAGAGCGACATCCACTTACCTGCTTTTTTTATATGCATTTAAAGTTCCAATTTTGACAAAATTCATTAATCTTGAAAATGTGCAAATTTTTTTTAAGTTGTCAATTCATATAAATTTCTCTTTAGAAATGTTAATAAAAGATTCCAAATGTCAAATTTTTCTACTTTAAACGATAAGTAAACATATATAAATATATAAGTAATAAGTAAATAGTGATGCATATTCAAGAACAGATCAAACAAGGGAGCAATAAATTGTAAAATAGCCATAAGAATTATATAAGGCCATATTTTTCAGTTAAAAATTCTTAAGTTTTTTTTCTATAACTAACATTAAAAATGTTAATAGAATATAATTTTTCTACCTCTATCAACAAAAAAAAAAGTCACCGGAAAGTTACACTATTAATAATAATCAAAAATATTAGTTTAGTATTTGGTATAAAATATATTCGATTATTATACATTTTTTTTAAATAATTAAACTAGATTATTTTTCCAAGTATGCTATATGATGACACAACGTCTCAATTGTTTTTCGTTTGTAATGATTTATCCTTGAATTCAAATACAACATATTATCCATCACAAAGACATGCTTGACACCTACAGCAGAGCGGTACCCACTTGTCCACCTTTTTTTAATGCTTTAATTTTGTTTTGATAAAATATAACATGTATAAGGTGGAGGAAAATAAGTTTTTATTTAGTTAGTATTTTTTTTTAATTTATTATTTGAGTGAAAAAAATTTATGACAAACATGATGAGACACTTTGTAGTACTTTTGTAGAATGTTTATAAATAGACCATAGGAATTTAAAATTATAATATTAATAATCTATAGTAAATTTACATTCATTTATTTTTAATGGATAATTCTGAAAAGTAAATATTAAAATTAATTTTACACATCTTTCAAACAGACATAAAAATAATTAAAAATTGTGTATAAACCAATTTGAAAAATGAATACATATTATATTAGTTATATGTCATATAACGTGGAGTAGAAGAGAACTTGGCATATGATTTGATGACCTTATTAACAGCTTCTAAGAAATCTTTTTCAGTAGCGACTTTTCGACGAGCTCTAATTGCAAACATACCGGCTTCAGTACATACGGATCTTATTTCAGCACCTAAAATTGTAATAAAAAATGTAATTGTTATACATTTAGTTGTGTAGACAACAAATTTACAATGCAAAATTATCGGATACAATCATATATTAATATAACAATTAGTCCAACAATATTTGTTTTTTGTTATTTTTCTTTAACCAACTGTCGTATGCAAAAGATGTATAGTTAGTCCTTTGTTAATTTAATGTTGATAAACTTTGAATTTTATTATATTATGTTATGAATGTAGTTTTTTTATTTCGTTAATAAAACAATAATTATTTTTATAGTTGATAGTTGTATGTGTTACGCTAAATGCTGTTATATCGGAAAAAACGTTATTTACTTGTCGGCGGACATTACAGTATAGTATGTCACAGTCTGAGAGGACTATACTGCATCTAGCAAGAGAACTCAACCAGGCGGCTACCAAAACTAGTAAATTGTTATGCATTCCCACCGGTTGCTGAGTGGTGGAAGAAATTCACCTAAACATGCGCGAACGAGTTGCATTCTCTCACTGGATGCATTTTAGTCACTAAGATTATCAATTTAATTATAAACCATCGCGATAAACAATAAATATTGATATTTAAAAACAAGTAATTAAAAGATTACGATCAAATTTTTAAAACACAATTTTTTTTTATTATAAAATAAATCCCCATATATGGTCAATGAAAAATTATAATTTTTCATAAACAATATATTTTAAAATATGATAAATAGGCTAAATATTCTCTAAGCCTCAACATTTGATGAAATTTGCAAAGTAAAATTGTTTCTATAAATTCTGTAATTAACAAATTGTCCATATTTGTATATCTATTAAGTTACGTAAATCCAATAAATAAACTATGTGAAAACCTAAAAAAATCCTCTCTCTACTAATTACTAATTTTTATCTAAAAAAAAGCCACATTGTTGGATGGTTGGACTAATGCATAACAGATAACATTATATACATATATAAAAGTCTAGACTTACCAGTGCTATTGGGACAAAGTCTAGCCAACAGTTCAAAACGAATATCTCGTTCAACACTCATAGCTCTAGCATGTATATTGAAAATATGAGTTCGACCTTCCAAGTCAGGCAAACCAAATTCAACCTTTCTATCAAGACGTCCAGGGCGCATCAATGCTGGATCTAATGTATCTGGTCTATTAGTTGCCATTAAAACTTTAATGTTTCCTCTGGGATCAAATCCATCTAACTGATTGATAAGCTCCAACATAGTTCTTTGTACTTCGTTATCGCCACCAGCACCATCGTCAAAACGTGCACCACCAATTGCATCAATTTCATCAAAGAATATCAAGCAAGCTTTCTTACTACGTGCCATTTCAAATAATTCACGAACCATACGAGCGCCCTAAAATTCCACAAATATATTGATGAACATACCTTAAATTATTGGACAACAAATGTAAAATATATTTAAATTTCACCTCTCCCACATATTTTTGAACAAGCTCAGAACCAATTACTCTAATGAAACAAGCATCAGTACGATTAGCTACTGCTCTAGCACATAAAGTTTTACCAGTTCCTGGTGGTCCAAACAATAACACTCCTTTTGGTGGTTCAATTCCCAAGTTCACAAATTTTTCAGGCTAAAAATTCAACATAATTTAAATACATTAAATTAATACAATTTTAACTAAATGCTCTTCGGGGCATATAATCATCAAATAAACAAATAAATAATTATAATATAATAAAAGTTAAAAAAAACATTAAGAATACCCACATGCAATAATGGAGTTTCAACAACTTCTCGTAATTTATCTATCTGTTCTTTACATCCACCAACATCTGAGTATGTAACATCTGGCTTTTCTTCTACTTGCATCATAGTAACAGTAGGATCAATTTTAGGTGGAAGCGGAATATGGATTTGATACTTATTACGGTCAACTCTGCAATAAATTTATACACGATAAATAGTACACAGTTTTATAGAAAAAAATATATTTTTTACCCAACACGCATTCCTTCTTCAATATCAGTTGGTGCTACAGAGTCTGCAAGATCAACAACAAACTTGGCGAATTGTTTGACATTAATTATATATTTAGGATCATCTGAATCAGCATTGATAATTTTTGTACATCTGGCAACCTTATAAAATTAAGTTAAATTTTTGAATTTTTCATAAATTTTAATGAAGGAATTATTTACTTGTAATGGTTGTTCATTTTGAAGAGTCTGTTTGTCAGCAGTTAAATCCCAAAACGCGGGAGGAGCTAATCCTGTATCCGATTCTTTAATTCCAGTCAATTCATTAATACGTTTGATAATACCTTGGATATCATCTTCTACTGCTTTTACATTAATTGTCCATTGACCTTGGCCCTATAAATACAATTAAATTTACTTGCCACTTGGTATAGATATTGTAATAAAACATTTTAAGCAACTTACATATGATTTGAGTAATGCTATGTCCTCTTCATCCAAAGCTAAAAATTATATATTACTATATATCTATTACTTTATTCAGGGGAAATAGTCTTTGAATGAAAGATAAATGTAAAATAAACGTTAGTATTTGCAAAAACAGTTAGGTGGGTACAAGATAATATTATAATAAAAATCATATTTTCAATTACATTTGATATCTTTTTCTTTTTCTTCCTTTTCGGGCTCGTCTTTCTTCACTTTTCTCATTTCGTCGCCCAAATAGTCAGGCATCTTGAACTATTAATTTTACCAAAAGAAAAACGAAGTAGGTAAAATACAATTTAACACTTAGGAACGAATTATTATTTATTAATCTAAATATTTTATTGTTGAAAACGTCAACTCCACAGTTTCCAAACAAAAATTTTATGAATTATGATTTGTGTTTTGTTCGGATAATGATAAAGCTATTTTTCTTTAAAAATGTAACAAATAACAATTTTAGGTTAACAATGACTTCTCAACTTGGGCTTAACCTACACGAGCGCTCTCTTTAAGATCAAATACGAACTACACTCAAAATTTGATTATTTTGTTTTATTCATTTTCCGAGAGATAATAAAAATGCCTAATGTTTGGCTAAACAATAATTTGTTTATAACTAGTTTTACACCATTAGCACTCGTTTACATTTTTCTTCATCGACTCCACCCTTAGATTGATTACAATTTACAACTAGTCAGATTATCGATCGTCGACCGTCGTAGACATTCAAATTGTACATTACCTCGTTCTTCCGTGTTGTCTACGATAATAGTGCTCTTCCATTTGTTACTAATATATTGTATTTTTGTTTTTTTTTTTTATTTTCATTATTTTGCAATCACATAACGGTACCTCAGCTTAGTGGGGCTTGTTTGGGTGAACACGAACACAGCCTGATAGGTGCGTAACTTAAAGCGTGCGTAAATATAAGTATATAACAACTACTTGCGTTTCTATGTTCATGGGTGATTCAATAATGTCATTCATTGTTTATTATACCCTACTGCTATCAGTTTTAATGTAATTATGTAAATAAATCAAATTATCCAGTTGTATGATTTCTTTTATCCAGTATAATTATCATGTTCCTGTTCTCGTGACATTTCCCATTCCCATTCGCTCGCGGTTGCAATGCTTCGGTTTTTGAGCAGAAAACGGGGTCGGAACGATCCAAAAGCTCGAAACATCAAAGCTGGGGCTGAACGTTTAAATCCTCCAAACAAGCATTGTATGCAATGCAGGGTTATGCTTTTAGATGGTACAGACCTATGCATTGAACTATCGGTAAGTACACGCAAAACAACATTGTATTGTTACATTGTAAAAGTGTTTTTTTCCCTTAGTTTTAAAATAATATACGAAAAAAATATAGTTGGTTTGTAGAGTTTTGAAAAGGTGAATTGCTTAACTAATATTTATGGATAAATTATTAAACCATTGCGTGATATAAATAAATATAACTAATTTTTCTTTTTTATTTTATTATTCCTACCTAGGTACCTATGTACCTATATTAAATTACTATTTTTACTTTTTTAAATCTATAATTTATATTATTCACAACATCATCGTGTGAAGTGTTGACCTGACTTCACCTAACCATCTCAGCTCAGAATCATTTATTGTAAGCAATGATTTATCATTAAATTCAAATTTAACACATCTTTCACAGTGACTTACTGAATAATGAGGTATACTAGACACCTATTATACAGCAAAACAAGTTACACAATTTATATTCTTAATATTTACTCTTATACCTACCTATAAAAACTTCCAATTATTATAATATTATATAATAATTGTAATAGGTAACTAAAAATCTTTTTTTTTCTATATTACCTATATAACGTAATAATTAATATTTCTAAATAATTTCAAAAAATATAGAATTAATTATTCTTTTAAATACTTGAATTCTTCGAAATAATTACTTCTTAATATACCAATTGATTTATTTTTTTTTTTTTAGAAAAAGGCTGTTGGTAGTGATTTATATGAGCAAGTATTTTATTCATTGGATTTGATTGAAAAAGATTACTTTGGTTTACAGTTTACTGATGCTAATCACGTTCAGGTAAATAAATACGTCATGTTCCTATTTTTTAGCTTCTTATATTTTATAAACATATTATCGAATATCTACCTTCATCTTAATTCTAATCATGATTCATTAACAAAGAAGTTGTTTAAAATTTTGGTTTTTTTTTGTTATAACATGTTTAAAATGGAGATTTGACAATAAATAATTTATTTATTCCTTAAAGTTATATTGGGTATTGAGGACTTCTATAGTTTATATACCTACACTTATTTTAAACTAACTGATATTAAATAATAACTTTAAATATTTTTTAATAATAGCATTGGCTGGATCCTACAAAAGCAATAAAAAAACAAGTTAGAAGTATGTATATATATGTATACGATATTATTATTTATTATTTAAATATTTAATGTTATGTTTTAATTTTAGTTGGACCACCATATACATTTCGACTACGTGTTAAATTCTATTCTTCAGAACCAAATATGCTTCGAGAAGAGTTAACTCGTTATCAGTTTTTTCTTCAACTCAAATTAGATATCCACGAAGGTCGGCTTGAATGCCTACAAAATACTTGCATTGAATTAGCAGCCTTAGCTTTACAATGTATGTATATTCAAAATTGTTTTAAAAATATACTTGTATATGCATCTATTTGTCATTATAGCTGAGCTTGGTGATTATGATGAAACTTGTCATACTCCTGCAGTTATATCTGAATTTAGATTTGTACCAAATCAAACAGAAGATATGGAAATCCAAATTGTAGAAGAATTTAAAAAATGTAAAGGTTTGACTCCAGCTCAAGCAGAAACCAGTTACTTAAATAAGGTGAAATGGTTGGAAATGTATGGAGTTGATAACCATACTGTTTTAGTAAGTAAAAATACTTAAAACTAATTAAAATATTCTTAGTAAATACTAGAGTAATCCAATATTAAAATTGTTTATTTTATAATGTTGTCTATAAAAGTATCGTTGTTTAGGGTAAAGATGGATGTGAATATGCTCTTGGTTTAACACCAACAGGCATTTTAGTATTTGAAGGCCTTCAAAAAATTGGACTCTTTTTCTGGTATGATTACTTTATATATATTTTAATATTTATAATTTTGTATTAAGATAAATAGTGAAATATTAATAAATTGATAAGACCAGCATTTATATTTTTTAGAGATTATTTTATTTGACATTCCCCCCCCCCCTAAAGTTTTTGGTGAAGTAGGACATTTTTCCCCCCATTTTTTTTTAAGTTTACTATTTATTAATAATATTTTATTTTTTAAAATGTAATTATTATTTTGCCTATTGTCTAATAGTTTCATAAATATAATAAACTATAGATGTATATTTTTGATCAAATTAACTACTTGAATCAAATTCAAAAGCAATTATTAAATTTTTTTTTTTATCTTAAGCCCGTCATCTATGGCCATTAGCTGTATTGATTTTGTACGTTTTAATGTCGGTAGGGGGGGGGGACATGTGTGTGTTGGGTTTGGCAGAATTTTTGATTGGGCACCCATAGGTATTTGCCATGCCCGGGTGGGGGATGGCGGCACTTTGTTCTCCGGACACCGTGACTTGCCCAAAGAAACGTGACCAAGGAATCGAGCCGGCGTTGGCTGCGTCATAACCGACGCCTTAAAACTCTCTGCCACTCCATCCCCCAACTATTAAATTGTTAAATATCCAAACTAGTAGTCAAAAAAAAAATAAGAAGGCTAAAAAAAAATATGGGTTTAAAAATAACAAAAGAATTAGTAATCAAATGTTTTTTTACAAAATGTAACATTTTAATGTTGGAATTTTTAGCTATTTTTATTAATTATTAATTATATTTAATATTATGCCTATTTTTTAAAATAATTTTATTTTTAAGTACCTAGTTCAGTGGATCAAACATATAGATTTATAATCTATTATATTTATGAAATAAAAAAAATGTTTATATTATGTTTTATATTTAAAAAAAAAAAATAATTTCATATTAAATAATAAATAATACTGTATTAAATTCAATATTATTAGTCAATAACAAATTTTTTTTTAAAAATGGTGCTAAAATGTCCTCATCAAAAATGTATCAGGAGGTAATGTCCTACTAGTCCGAAAAAAGTCAGGGGGTGGAATATCCATTTACCATTTTATTTTATCTAAATTGATGTGTTTATTCTTCATATTTTAACTTCATAGTGTTATGAGATATTTGTAAGATGTATATCTCAATTTAAAACGGGGTAGTAATTATATTAAAACAAATTTTCAATCATCTTTCCTAAAAATTTGACAAAACAATTCTTATTTCTTAATATAACAATTAGCAGAGTAGTGAACCACCGTTTATTTACTTACTAACTCTCCTCTTATTCAAGTTCAATTTAAATTTCAGGCATTACAATTTTTAAGTTATTTTTAAGTTGTACGTTGCTATTAAAATGGCATTTTACTAAAATTCAAAGCTAAAGAAATTCCAATACCAAATAAAGTTATCTTCCATTTATACATATCACCCGTCGCAGCAAAGAAGATCGTATCTCTGTATTTACAATTTTTTTTTTTCAAGTTTTCATAATTGTTTTTGTGTAGTACCCGCGAAGACAGTAGTAACTGAATTTTATTGTATAGAACGTCTTTGATTGTTTTATGCTATTATCAGTTCCACGGGAACTACACAAAAATAGTTATAACAACTTGAAAAATAAAATAAAATTTGTGAAAACGGAGATACTACCGTTTTTGCTGCAGTATGTACGTTAATAAAATGTCTGACTAATGTAAAATATAAATTATTTTTAATGTGTTGTAGGCCAAAGATTGGAAAATTGGATTTTAAGAAGAAAAAACTGACTTTAGTAGTTGTAGAAGATGATGATCAAGGACGCGAACAAGAGCATACATTTGTATTTCGATTACATAATGAAAAAGCATGTAAACATTTATGGAAATGTGCTGTTGAACATCATGCATTCTTTAGGCTTCGTGCTCCTGTTAAAGGTCCGTCTGCAAGACAAAATTTTTTCAGAATGGGTTCACGGTTTAGATACAGGTAAACATAATAAAAACTAAGTTTCAATTGAAAATTAATGCTATTAATTATTTAATTAAGTGGCAAAACTGAGTTTCAAACGACTCAATTAAATAGAGCAAGAAGAACCGTTCAATTTGAAAGAAGACCAAGTCAACGATATGCACGAAGACAGTCGCATGTTTTAAGAGAAAGACAAAAGTAAAATAAACCCACAGATTATAAAGATTGGATAGGACATCTGTTCACCGATTACACAGTACACTTGTCCTAGATAGGATATTTTGGTTTTGGTCCCACAGTTATCATTTTAGTTGTATAATAAAAGATTACTCCACTGCTACCGTTTAAGACTGCACATGTAGAAATTATATCCTATCCATTCTTTATTGTCTACGATTAAAACTCATAATTTGTTTATATTTATTATTTGTTATATAACATATTTTGTATTATAAAATACTTTCAGGGACAAAACTGAAAAGCCAAAAACAGAAAATGAAAATGAGAAAATGGAAAAAATTAATATTATGGATAAACCTCCAACTCCAATCTTAGATTCCAAAGATATTCATCTTGAACCAACATCCTCATTAACCTCAAACTCTTCTGGTAATTATATTTATGAATAAAAAACAATATTTTCTAATTTAAATAAATTTCTGAATATAATTATCTGTAACAGATATTGCTGAGGATAGGTTAGACTCATTATTAAAGAGTTTGAATAAAGAATCGCCTTTGATAAACAGCAAAATAAATGAATCAAATTCAGTTGATATAATTAATAAAACAGATGGTACTGTATTTTTACTATGTAAATTTATATTGAATTCATATTAATTAGTATGTTTTATTAGATTTTGGCAAAGATCAAAATCAATCCTCGTCTCCATTACCAAACAATCGAAACATTTCATTTAATACTACTCCAAAACCAATTCCTAAAGAACATTTAAAATGCAACATTCTAAAAGGTAATATATAAATTACTTCTTATTTTTTAACAAATTTTAAAATTAGCCCCTTAGAAATTTAAATCAAATTAAATTTCAAATAATTGCATATTTAATTGTTTTCTGAAATTTGAAGTATTTGTGTATACTTTTTCCCATATTTATTGGTTCTATACTAACCCATGACTAAAATATCATTAACATTATAATACTTTGTTTTAGCTCAAGTTGAAGAAGAAATGAGGAAATCTCCTTTATCCATGTTTGATCCATTATCTAAAGTGACAAATTTGCAAAATGGGTAACTATTTTGTTTTATTTTCTATTTTTTCGATTATAAATATTACAATGGATTTATTTTATTTTAGGGAATGCAATATTAATTCTAAATCAAATTCTTTTGGCAAAGAACAAGCAACATTTGTATCTGTTGTAAGTATAAACTTCACTTCAGTATAATTTATTTTATGGTGTTCTTTATTTTATATATAAGGATTAGTATATTTAGTTTTTGGTTTTGCTATTTTTATTGTTGTGTGTTGTTTTATTATTTTTGTTTTTGTTTTGTTTTTGCTTATTTCTTGGTATTTAAAAAAGGGTGGAGACAAACTGACATTATCCCTTAATGGTGGCATTGCAGCACCAGAAGAAAATAAACAACCATTGGATGAACAACCTATATCTGAAACATCTGTGTCTAAAGATGACCGTAAAAGATGTGCTACTCCGGTAACAGTGACCCATTTCTCTTTTGGTGAATGTGGGAAATTAGAACAAAGGGTGGTTTCTCCTGAAAGAAGTCCTACAGAAAGTATGTCAAGCATTTTGTCCTTACCATTTAATGCCACTTCTCCTACTAGCCCTCGTAACCCATTTTCGGCAAATCCGTTTATTGGTGATTCACAAACAGCAACAACAAATCCATTCTTATCACCATCATCAAATCCATTTGCCGATGGTATAAAAAAAGATTCAACTAATGATGTCGTAGTTGCTGTTGAATCAAATACTGGCATAAATGGTGTAACAAATTCTAATACTAAGGTAGCCCAAAAAAATCAGGTATGTTATCTTATTATTTACCTTGTATACAATAAGTTAAAGATTATTTTTCTTTTAAATATCCAATAGTTCTGACGCTCAAAATTAACTAATATTATATCAAAATGATTTACCATAGTAAAATACTCAATTTACACATACCTTAAAGAAAAAGTATTTTATGTATATTTCAATAAATTTATAAAAATAACAATATTTAAATAATAATTTATAAGAAATCTTTATGTAAATCAATTACCAAACTTTTACATTTTATAATTAATATACCTATGGTAAATCTGCTGTATTGGCCGATAGTAATTATTTTTTTTATGGATATGTAGAACCAAATTGGTAAGGTACTAGCCTTCAATGTATTCAGTAATGTTTGCATTGACCTTATTAAAAATATCAAACTACCTTATACTTATTGCTTCTGGTGATAACCTGTTAAGATTTAATTCAGTTGCATTATCAATGTTGATATATTTAGTATATTCTTATTGTTATGTAGATATACACAAATTATTTTATTTTCAAAAATAATTAGTAAATTATATATTATTTTATAGGAACTTACTAAGGCAAAGCCTTTAAATCAAATTTCCCCATGGCTAATTAGTGGTGCTGAGACTTCATCCGTACCCAAAATAATAACCAGGAAGTCTGTGATCACAACACAACTTTAAAAATGGTATGTATGTTAGAACTACTATTCACTGTTATATCATAAATGTTAGAAACGCTATTAAGTATTAAGAATTTAATAATATGTTATTTTTTTTATGTATATTTTCAAAATTAATTTGTGATAGAAAATACGAAACCTCAATAAAAAAAAAGTTAGCTGCCACAAATTTCTATGTTAGGCATCACAGTTTTTTTCATTGTATGCAATATTTTAACATTCTTAATGGAATTGATCTCTTTATTCTTTTATGAATTAAAAGAAAGTTATAGTTGAAATTTAAATTTATAGAAAATAATAATACTTCAAATTGAGATATTTTGTTTTACTTTTAGTTAATATTTTTGTATAATACTTAAAAGTATTTTACCACAATCAATACAAAACATGAAAAAATATATTTATCTTTTATTAAGATATTATTGTTAAAATAATAAATTTATAATAAGTTATAACTTAAGCTTAGAACAAATTTAGATCAATGAGTTTATTAATTTATTTTTTGATTATTCAATTGTAATACTATTTGATTCAGACTGAAAATCATGTCATTAATGTATGATGTTATATATATTTTTTTAATAATATGTTGTTTTAAAACATTAATTTATTACTGTCATCTAAAACGTATGTTTTAAGCATACATTAATTAACCTGTATTTTATCAGGGCTCAAAATTATTTTAGTATTTAATAACTAAAATAGAAATATGTTGATTATTAACTATTTTAAAATCATACTCTTGGTTCATATTTATTAATATGAACAAAACAACTAAATGAATTTAGGAAGTGCCTTTTATCATTACACGTAGTTTGTATAGAATTTTTGCTCTCTTTCCTTTTATTCAATAATAATGATTATTTGTATACAATTGTTAAGTTATATGTAATATACATCTTTTCAATATTTCTAAATGCAATAAAATGTGAAATAAATTGTAAGATATAATTACGATTCTTAACAAAATAATTGAATAGAAAAGAAAATTATTAATTTACTGGTATTCAACATATTAATATAATATACCTATATCTATTTTATTAAATAAAATGTTAAATTATTATATATGTTTAAAACTGTTAAAAAAAATAGTGTGTTTTTGTTTACTCAATGTTGCACTGTGTGTGTTGAACAAATTGCCTTTACTTGTGATAATTATATAATGCAGTATTAATTTGTTGTTTTTTTTTGTTTTTTTTTTTTTTTTTACTGCAATATAACAAAAGTTAATTATAACTCTAAGTTATACATTTTGTTTTGTATGAATGTATGCCGTCCTCATTTAATTTTGTATTTACATATAATTATAAGTATTTAATGTTTGTAATTTTAAGTTTTATACCGTTTGTGCCATAGTTTGTAGGTGTTGTGTAGAACAACAGTTAAGGTAATTTAAAATTGTATACATTCTTCTAATATGGCATTTGTTTGCTGTACATGAATAGTATTTATTTATACGATTAAAAATTAAAAAATATTATTTAATAATACATTGTATCATAACTATAGGTAAAGATATAATGGTTTCTCTGAATATGCGGGTTTTTTTTTTAATAACAATGTATTACAAATGCCATTTTAGAACTAATAAACTAAATATAATATGGAAGGATTTTTAATTATTTGTAGACGCATTTAGTTGTTAAGTCAAATAAATAAAAAAAAATTAACATATTTCAAAATCCGTCCATTGATATTTAAAACATACATGTGATTAATAATAAATTATTTATTGAAAGTGATTTTTTTTATTTTTGTTTTGAATAAAAACTATTTTATTCAGTTCAATATGATCCAAATAGTAGACATAATTGATGGACAATCGAAGTATTTGGACTAAAGGAAAACAATTTGCTAATTAATGCTAGAACAAATCCTAGCCCTAATTATTATCTTTTCCTAGCTCTTATTATTTTATTTATTTATTTATTTATTTATAATGATTAACGCCAATCGGCTTTTATACAAAGTAATTGCATACAAAATAATAACAAATTTAAATAACAATATTAAAATAGTAAGACATAATAACAGTATTAAATAATAAATATAGTAAGACAGCAAAAACCAATAATATGGTGAAACAAAAATAAAGGGCCCAGGCACGAAATTGTCACAAATTATATAAATTGTATACACGCATCAGTCTAGGGAGGGGTGCATTGGCAGCATAGTTGGACCGATCTGTTTGTAGGTAGAACGTGCCCTGGTATCGAGTGTTGCTAGGAACATGGATATTAAGTTTCTCTAATAATCGAGGTGCATCAATTTTCCCATTTAATAGCCCAGAAATAAATCGGTAACTATGTGTCTGACGTCTAACTGATAGTGACTCGAGACATAAAATATAATTTATTGGTTGATAGTCATGGGGTGGATGAGTAATGTTTAGGCAGTACCCAGCATTATTCAAAAACCTGTTCTGCACTCTGTCAAGTCTAAGTATATCACCAACGGTATACGGATCCCAGACAATAGAACCATACTCTAGTACCGAGCGTACTAGCGCACAATAGAGCACTGAGAGACATTTTGGAGAATTGAAACTCGCAGAATGTCGTCTAATAAAACCAAGTATGCGCACAGCTTTGCCTACTATGTGATCAATGTGAGGACGAAAATCTAAAGATGGGACAAAAAGGAAACCTAAGTCAATAATTTTGTCAACACGATCCAGGTGTAGACCATTGAGAGAATAGTCAAACATTATAATATTTCTAGTACGATAGAATGACATAACTTTGCATTTGGTATTATTTAGGGAGAGCCCAACAATGTCGCACCAGATTGTTAGTTTTACCAGAATTCTTTGAAGTATTTGACAGTCTTCCGTGGACGACACTGTGTGGAATATCTTAGCATCATCTGCAAATAACAGGACCCTCGCTGGAGAAATGACCGAGCAAATAGAGTTAATAAATATATTAAATAGCAGGGGGCCCAGATGACTACCTTGGGGAACACCTGATAAAACTTTAAATGATTTAGATTTCATACCAAATAATTTAACAAATTGAACTCGATCAGACAGATAAGATCTCAACCAGGTTAGGAGTGGGTCACCAATTCCTAACTGATCCAAGACATATATCAGTGTATTATGATCAATCGAATCGAAAGCTTTTGAGAAGTCTGTGTAAACAACGTCAACTTGCCGCCTAGCTGAAAAAGCATCATGTACAAAAGATACAAAATCAATTGCACTAGTAGATGTTGACCGACCAGGAAAAAATCCGTGTTGGTTTTATTTTATTATTATTTATTTTATTTATTTTTTTTATTTATTTTATTATTTTATTATTATTATTATTATTATACAGTTATATTATTTTTATACTACAATAACATTGTATCAAAACATTTTACCCATTTCCAATAGTATGAACAGTAGGTTATAATATAACCTCTATAATCTGTTCAAAATAAAAATATATAAAAAAAATTAATAATTAAAGGTTTTAATTTAAATTACAAAATTGAAAATAATAGTATTGTTGTAAATTATAATTAACTAGTGGGAATTAGATAGGTACCTAATATAAATTAATGAAAAATGTATTTCTATATTATTAAAAAGACCAAATTCAGAAAATCTTAGTTCTCTAAGACAATGAACCAACTTAAAGTAATAACACAGTCTAACCCAAATTAATTTTTCAAACAATTTATGTACTGATTGATAATTTATTAAAAATCATAAAACATTTGTTCTTCAACAGTTATTGAGTTTATTTTAATTATGTCAGTTTATCAGTAGATATTTTCAAATTCCAGTAACAGTAGACCAAAACGTAATATATATAGCCACAATTCAACTGAGCATTATTGTTGCCACAAAAAAAAAAGTATATAATATAATTACCTATAGTTAAATACCTAAATCAAATTCCTAAATAATAAAAACCAAAAAAAAAATTCAAGGAAGATCATCATGAGAATTGACATTATTTAACAGGCTACATGTTCCACTTGTCTTGCTAATACAATAAATACAATTTTGACCAAATGTAATTGGACTACATCACTATATTCTACATATATTCTTACTTAATACATTAAAACTTATTTATTATGTATAGTTTTCCAAATTCTTTATTATATACCCAGTTTTCAAATATTAATAAATATAAGTATAGATTAGTATTTATAATAGGTTGGGCAAAAAATGTATAACCGCTCAGTTTCTTAGTGGTCTGTGATGAGGCCAAAATCCTTTTGGAAAACCTCTTGGGTGGTTTCATGTATCTTGTTATCACAGTTTTCTAGTTGTTCAATCCCTCGAACTCTAGAGATCAGTCTTTTTTTACGTTGAGCGCTTTGAAAAATTTCCACACAAAAATGTAACCAATTTTTTACATTGACCTATAAAATATTTTGCATGCAATTATTATAACATTTACGTCTAATAAAGTTAATAAAAACTTACTCTTATTGATTATTTTGTTATGTGGCTTTTTGGCTAGCTTGTAAACTCTTTAACGCACTGTCACAGTCAGTAGTATCAATATCATTCAAGTTCAACCCTAAGCGTTCAATTTCAGCATATGTTCCAAATGGTATTTTTCCTAAACACTCCAATTTAAGTATATGCATTTTGGATCGTAAATGTTTAGCTAAATGTCCATGAATTCGAAAACCAACTTGGCAATCAGCACATTCAAATGGTCTTGGATTTTTAACAATAGTCCCTTGGGTGGAGGACATCATATTCACCTGAAGAAAAATATTAATTATAAATTAAAAATTAAAGGGAATCAAATATAATAATCTCACCTTATTCAAATGTGAGATAGAGTCCAAATGTTTTTGAAGCAAATGCTTAGTTCGGAATGATTCTTTACAGCCTTCACATCGGAATGGTTGCTCAAAATAATGTATATTTATGTGCAATTGTAATTGACTAGGTTTATTAAATACCTTATCACACACCATACACTTACTTCGTCCATCTTCTAGAATACTAAAAACCATAACTTGTTAGCATCAGTCATATTGAGTATCTACTATTATAAAACATGACAAATACCTGGTATATTTTTGTGATGGACCATTTGTTGTAGGTTGTCGAAATAATGCCTTAGGTTTTTTTGGGGACTGCTGCGTTACTTGTGGTTTATTTATTTGTTCTAATTCTTTACTACCTCCAAAACGTGAAAGATCCATTGGTTTATTAACTATGGCTTTTGGACTATTACTTAGAATTGCATTTACATTATGCCTCAAATCTGCAGGTGCTGTTTGAATCACCTCTGGATTATTGAAAATAGGTGTGGGTGGAACAGCTGGTAATGGTGGTGGTACCAAAAGACTGCTTCCAGACTGCAACGGTGGACTAATTTGTTTCTGATACTGGTGATTATTTTTTACCTCAGACTCAGCCAGTGTTAAAAGAGATTGATATGGATATGATACAGGTCGGTGATCATAAGGCAATATACCAGCTTTTGCATGATTTGACTGAGGTATTTGTGATGGGTATACTTGTGAAAGTCTTAATAATGAACGTGCAGCATCAAAATCTGATTGAGTTTTACGCCATCCGTGTTTATCTACTGCTTCCTCATCATCATCTTCATCATCAATATCATCGTCTTCATCCATATTATCTTCAGAGTAGTCTTCCATATCTTCAGAATCTAGTTGTTTAATATCATCCATGGACATTGGATTTTGATCCTGTTCAACTCCTTTTTTGAAATGTGCTTTCGACTTCATATGTTTTGTCAAATTTCCTTTGGTTTTAAAACTACAAAAATAAAATAAAAACACTATTATAAATATGGAATGTACTACATTTTCAATAGATATTACCTAAAGGTACATTGTGTACAAGTATATGGCCTTAAGTCAGTATGGGTTCTGATATGTTTCTTTAGCATTGAAGGCTTTTTACAACGAATTCCACAATCAGCACATACATATCGCCCCCTTCCCCTGCCTCTAACGTATACATAATCTTCATTGGATTCAAAACCTCCAGGACAGATTTTTAATTTGCCCATAGAGTTGGTTTCAACTCTGGTGGTTTGATCAGCCAATTGTTTGTGCTTATAAGATGAATGAGCAACTATGTAATCGTGAGATTGACCAGCTTGTGTATATCTGTGGTTATTCTGACTTGAGTCATATAAATCCATACCTCGAACGCCCAACATATTACTTCCCATATCGGAACAAATCTATATTAAAATATAGATTTTATAATTCATTAATAACTTATATAATATATTCTCAGATCAACAAAATAATAACTTTAATGATTTTTTATTATATATATAATGAAGTAGATTATAGGTGTGCATCAATATTTATATACCTTCCAATTTGAATACATTGATATAGTATTAACTTCTGGAAGAATTGTATATGTGGGTTGACATTTGGTTAGCGTACAAAAAAATACTCTTGTCGTACACTTCAAACCCAAATAAGTGTATGCATGACCATTAAGATATAACTGTTGGTAGCTCTTTTTTGGTCTTGGAGTATCTGGACTAACCATGGGCAACATGCGGTTAGTACTGAATGTTCCTGGTTTGAACGCCAATGACGTTGGTCGTACAAATTTCTGAGCCGCTGTACTTGTAGTTATAGTAGTTGTTGAAATCTAAAAAAAAAAATTGTTAGTTATTAAACAAATTTAAATTGTATAAAATAAGATTTTTTTTTTTTTTTAAATTAAATCATTCATTTAAATAGATGAATAGAAATAGAAATCATTAGGTTCAATAATAAAAATACAATATGTAATTCAGTATAATTTGTTTCATGAATAATGTATCATACATGTAACAATTATTGAACTACTACTCAAGGTGATGATGACTGGGTCCCAAATATAAAATTATAGGTAGATACCTTACATCATTTACTGGTTATTATTTTATTAAACCATTATCATACTATCAACTTCAATGTCGACTGCTAACAATATCATTTTTTAAATAATACAAGAAAACGGTTTACTTCAAATTAAGAATCAATGATTATCATTTATCAATATTTACTGAAATTAAAAGCTAATAGTTTTTAAAATGTATTACCATGTTACAAAATAGAATACTTATGTATGTAAAAAAGATTTGATTTGGTAAAATTTTTATCTATTAATAAGAAATTACGAACGTAATAACCGTTATCCATAAAATTATTAATATTTTACAATTAATTTAAATTAATGTAAAATATAAATATACTGAAAGATTAAATTAATCATAGGTAAATAAACTTTTTTATAATTTGTGTATTAAGTCAGAATTGTATTTTATATATATAGTATTTTAGTATTTTATATTTATTTTGTAAGTCTAATATGAGTGAATATATTTGATAAGTTTAGATTAAAAGGGAATACAATTATAAAAATGAATAACAAAATATAAAAGTACTTAATAAACTACTAGAACTATATTATGTTTATGTGACCATGAAAATCAACTCACCAAATTTAATTTTTGGATAAATTCCAAATTTAAAAATACTTATTGATATTGGTTCTTTAGAGATATGATTAAGTAAAATGATATTTTCTCATATTTTTTTTTATTAAATAATATAAGCATAATCAAAAAAATGCCCAATTAAGAGGTAGACTTTGTTAGCCTTCACTCTCCAAAAAGAATAAAACTTAAATAAAAATACAATTTACCTAATTAATTTAATCAATAAACACAATTATTACCTGATGATGAGATGTTGAAACAAGAAATTTGTCGTCTACTTTTGGTTTCTTTGAAGGTGGAGGATCAGTCTGTTTTGGTTCATACTGTGGTCGTAGTTGACGAGGCATTGCCGTATGTGGTCCTGGAATACCTGGCACAAAAGGTACAGCACGTCCACTCTGGAAAATGGCAATCATTTCCTGTTGTTGTATCAAATTACCCACACGCAAAACGACAGGTTTTTGTATATCAGGTTCCTTTGGTCTGTGAAACTCAACCAACGGTGTGCGCCCCAATAATGGTCCTGGTGACGGGAGTGGCACGGCTACAGTCTTGGGCTCTGGATACTTAACTCCATTTGGACTTCGATCACAAATATGTCTGACTAAGTCTTCTTGACTATTGAATTTTAAGCCACACATTTCACAAAAAGGCTGTTCCTTATTCTCATTACACTTAATTATTTGGTTCAATAGCAACTTGTATACACCTTTTAGCTCGGTTTGACCATTTACTCCAACGGGAGATAATTTTTCTTGACATTTTTTAACTGCATCAACCACGGATAAATTTAAAGGCTGAGAAGAATCTTCTTCTTGTTTATTTACTAATACCTGAACTGGTTCAGAATGGTCTTCTGATGGTTTCAATTCTTCCAATTTAGTGTGTATTGAGGCTGTACGAAATTTTGGTTTGTATATTTTTGGCTTAGCCTCCTCTGGTTCTTCTTTTGCCAACCGTTCTGTATGTGATTGGGATTTGCAGTGTTTGGAGAGGTTGCTCTTGGTTTTAAAAGCAAATCCACACGTTTCACATGGAAAAGGGCGTTCATCGGAGTGCACTTGTAAATGTTTGGCAAGCGCACTTGGCTTAGTGCATACAGTTTTACAGTAAGGGCATTTATGTCGCCACACACCTTCGAGAGAATATTCATCTGTGGATAATACAGGGGCAGGAATAGCCACTTCAGGATAATCGTCCGCTGTGGCAATTTTTTTGAATTTCTTATGTAAGTAGTTTCCACCCGATAAAGGAGCCGATGGCGAAGACTTGGCAGAGTGACACATTATGTCTAAAAAAAAAAAAAAATAATAAATTCATAATGTGTCCACATACATATTGTTATAATAATTTAAAATGCAGTCAAAGGTAGGTACCATGAAATTATCAACAGATTAAATTATCGAGTAAGCAATTTGAAACAACTCTGCAATATCTAGTCATCAGCTAGAGATACGTAATCCTAAAGATGATAATTTTATTAAAAAGAATAGGTACCTAACGAACTAGGGCTTAAAATGGGAAAAATTTCTAGGGGGGACAAAGTTTCCATATAGTTTATAGCGTGCCAATTTTATGTTTAATGTACATAGTATATGTAATGTATAAACAGTGATTATGTAAGCATACTCATCCCCCCACTTTCAACCCTGAATAGTGTTAATCCTAATTTGTTAAAGGGGACCCTTTTTAACCACCATCTAAGGTAGGGGGACTGAGTCGCCCTGCGCCACCCACCACTTTACCCACTATATACCACACTTAAAATCTAATTTCATGTAGCCATTTTAAAATAAGATTTCAATTTATTTTATATAAATGATATTAAATGTACTATATTGGCTAATAATAGTTATATTATAAAATGTAAAAAAGAGGGTGAGAGGGTGTCGCTCTGCTGTACAGTAGGTTACAAGTGGGTCACTGTGACTGTAGTGGATGGTGTTAAATTTGAATTCAATGATATAAATATATAATAATATTATAATGATATTATCATTGCATACGAAAAACGATTCTAAGCGGGGACTGTTTGTCAGTCAAGAATATTTTATATTATTATTATTAATACGGTAGCCCGTAGCCGGTAAGTTGAATTAATATAATTTGTATATAATAATATACTTTAAAAGTTTCAAGCACCCACGGATAATATTTTTAAATTACTTAACTAAAATCGTTCTTTTTCGTTTAAATATCTAATTTCGTCCAAACTTGAACAAAAAATAACTATAAAAAATACCGTGTGTGTGTTTATTAGAATTTATTGGTTACTCTAGAAACTACTCACGAGGAACTTTATTTTAAATTTTTAATCCTGAAATATAAAAATTGAACGTATTATACATTTTCAACTGCAAAATATTATGTAAATTTTCAATAATATGATATATTTTGTGAACATTATAATTTTAAATGCTTAAAAAATCTTGTCAATATATTTTAATATATTTAAACTGATATTGTAACAACGTATGAGGAGCCTTGTATTACATTTTCAAGCATTTTAACCCAACGAATACAATTTTATTAAAATGTATAGAAAAAAAAACTAAAAAATTGAAAATGTCCGTAAACAACTGGAAACGAGTCAAAATATTTTAAAAATTGTATCAATTATAGAAAATGATAAAATAAACATATGGTGTGAATTTCAAGTATCTAAGCTTATTCGTTTTTGAATTAAAACAAAATAAGATAATCGAGTCAAAATCTAATGTTGTAAAAATATAAATATCAAAAGCTCATAAAAATTTAATTTGACTATCCGGTAGACATCTATTTTTTGATTAAGATGGACAAACTCTTAAGGAATCTTGTTTTAATCTTAGTTACAAAAAGAAACATATTTTTAAATTAACAACTCGCAATAATTTGAAAATTTTCGTGATTTTTACAGAATATGACAAAATTCAAACTTCAGACGCTCATGAAAAATTATAATGGATTTAAGGTAAACTTTTTTTTTAATTTCCAATAATAATAACATACAAGGTACATTGTAATACATGTTCAAGTTTTTTGACAAAGCTGAAATTTTTTTATCGACATTATTGAAAAAAAAAACTAGGAAAATAGAACATTTCATGGGACTATAAATAGCTCAACATGAGTCGAAATATTTTGAATGGTGTATAGAAAATGCTAATATACACGTAGATTAGATGAAAATGTCATGTAAGTATGTAAGCCTTTAATGGGTTTATCAAAAACCCAAATTGTTTTGTCGAATGTTTTTCCTTAATTTTTTTTTTCCAGAAACTTTTAAAAACTACTGGGAATTTTAAAAATTGGTCCTCCCCAGTGAGGAAAAGATACTTATGTTGAAAAAATTATTATTAAGTCGAATTATCGTGTATACAGACACGAAAAATAAAAGAGATGGATAAGTGGTAGTAGCTCTACTGTCTTCACGCTTTTTGACCTAACAAATACATTTTCATTGACATTATAGAAAAACTATTGAGAATTTTAAATTTTGACCTCCAACTAGATTTACTTTCCCAACGAACAAGATACTGTTGAAAAAAATCGAAGCAGTGTTACTACTTACTGCCACAAAAACATGACAGATACAAAAAAAAATTAATTAATTAATTAATAAATAAAATCACATCATTGTAAAATCAATAAATTCATAGCTCTGTGCAGAATCTAAAACACATTATAAAATCAATGCATTCATCTCTCCGATCAGAATCTAAAATAAAATAAGTATTAGGTGATTAGAAGTTTGGAGAAATCATTTTTAGAAACAAGTTAATTTTTTGTCCGAATGTTTGTGTTGTAGTGAACTGTATTAATTTCATGAATATTACTTACGGTACTTACAAAAATATTATTCAGCTTTTAGTTATGTATAATATACAATTTTTAGATAGTTAAGTAAATTAAGATTTCAAAGGACAAGCTTATTAATTTAACTGTTACCTTTGGGATTTGACAGATTTCTAAAGCAAAAAAACCTGTGGGGATTCTAACTCCCGAAATCCCTCCCTCTTATATACGACTTACCTTACACATTATAATTTAACACACATTTGTTATTCAGGGGACACAATATTTTAGCCCCTATCATTTATTAACTACAATCTAATGTCACATAGTTAATACTTAATAGATACCTATTGGCTTTTACCTAATATAACGATATGTTCCTAATGGCCTAATGCAATTATTTGTACTGCCAAATATAAAAATAAAATCAATTAGATGTATAATATTGATGTATATGTATTTAAAAATTAAAACAAACACGCCGAACAAAACGTGTAAAGTGTGTACATAGGTAGGTATGTAGTATGTTGTTTTCTCATCAAGATTCAGGAGTATAAAGTAAACACATGGTAAAATTATACTCAGTCAATCCACAACGTCACAACGGCGAAAGCATCATAGAATACATAGAATATAATTGACATGACTTCGAGTGCACACTGCACATTTCGCACTCCTAGAACAAGACTGCTACAACTCAAAATTTATAGTTTTGAGAAAAATCAATTTGAAGTTTGGACCTTAGATATTTTAATGAGTTTTTTACTTATGCGTTTGAAATTTAACACTTAAATACTTACAATCATTCTTTATAATATTAATTTTTCAAATATTTTGAAATTCACTCTTAAACCCAAAAATTTAGACTTGTGGCCATTTATAATTTTTTAAGTAAATGCAAGACTGCCATATTTTGAGATGTGACTGTATTTCATACAGAAGTTGTGGCTGCAATATCACAAATTATAAAATGCAATACTGCCACAACTCTAAATATTGCTGTTTTGCACTCAACATATTACACGATAATTAGTTTTTATTCAGTGCAAGAACGCCACAAGTCGAAATAAGGTAGTCTTGAATTTTGACTTCAGTGATAATTTGGATAAATAAAAATAAGTATACTGCCATAAAGTAAATTATGGCCCTCTCGCATTGAAAATTAACTAACATTTAAATAATTCCATACTGACACATCTCTATAGTGGCTAAATGAAAAATGATATTGAATGTGGCGCTCTTGCATTTTATAGAGCTTATTTTTCTCTATTCAACAGTAGTCATAACTCAAAATTGATGAATTTTGAGTTGTGGCAGTCTTGTTCTAGGAGTGCGAATTTTGTATAATATTTACTTAATAGAATGTTATGAATCCTAGTATAAAATTTGAAACTTATGTTTTTGCAAAAACCTATTATTAATTTAATTATTTTTAAAATTTTTAAATTTTAAGAACCATTGTTTTTTTTTATTGGTAAGTACCGTACGTCATGAAACCAATGGCAAATATTGCCTATTAGTAATAATATCATATCTTAAAAATTATAAGTATGTATGGCGTATGCATATTATAATATAACACAAAATATTTTATTATTTTGTAATAATATAATAAGTCAATAATTTAATCAATAATTTTTACTGTGATATTAGTTTGAAGCCTACTGTTTGGAACTATAGGCACTTATAGAGAATATGATTTTACCACGTGATGTAAGATGTAATTATACAGACGCAGATAACAATTTAGCGTAATCCCCCCTCGATTCTTATGCCTAATATATGCACGTAATTATGTTAATACAATAATGAGCAATTAAAATCAAAGTACCTATAATCGCTTTACATAAGTATATAAATTAAACTATTAGTATTAGTGTATATTATAATATATACATTGCGGTATGTACCTGCTATACGATTAATCATTAAATAATATAAACTGACAAAAATACATTCCATTTTGTGTTAAAAATTAATATTATATGAAATATTCAAATATACCTATTATACTTGTATAAAAACTAATATCATAAATATTATCTATACCTATTCTGTATTTTAATAATAGTTGAGAACCTATCACTTTATGTCTTTATATTTAAATACTAATTATTCATAGTTAGGTACCTTGTACCTATGTAATTTCTCTCATATATATTAAAAATATTATAATTTACAACATCCGCAGGGGCTCACGTTGTAAAGGGCTCTTATACTAAAAATTTGATGGGATAATATTTACCTGGTTCATTATCCCGATGCGGGATAATGTAGGCTAATTTTAAACCGGTCTAGTTTAGCGAATTTCTAGATAGTGTTATCAGCTTAAAATTGTATTATTTTTTCTTGTACTTTTTGTAGTGTAAAAATATAACATTTTAATACACACAAAAAATTATAAAATATTGTAATATAGTGTATATGATATATATTATGTATTATATTATTATATATTCGTGTGAAAACAGTATGAACCAGGTGCCAGTTGCATATTATAGTATCATTAGTATCTATCTTTATAGTATCATTAGTATCTATCTTTATAGTATCTACAATGTATTTACCGGCATGGGTTATTGTATCGACTATTGTTTGCTTTTAGAATATTTATACTATTTTTTCCCCGGAAGATGACAACGACGACAAAAATAAGTGGTATGTATCAAAGATTTTTATAATTTTGGTTAAATTTGTGGGCCAGCTGGAGGTCTTTACCATTCGCTATAATAATCACTAATCAGTGTGGTGATTACTGATTAGCGAATACTAACTTGTGAGTCATATTTTAAGGGTGAAAATGCAATGAAAAATGTAGGCTGTATCCAAATTATATAATACACCACATTCAGAAGCGGAACTAAGATTTTTTACGCACCCGGGATAAATATTAAAATTGCGCCCAATCATAGACCAAGACTGAAAATATATCATTTCCTACAATAAATTGTTTTCTAATAACTGGAACTAAAATTACAAACATACCACCTAAATGCTTCAGTCTGCAATAATGAACATTAAACAATCTTATATTATATTTTGATATATTTAATATTTACATATACCTTAATTTAAAAAAATAATTAAACATAATTTCATTTTTTCATCAATTTCAGTTTGTAAGTGTAACAAAAAATTACTTCCAGATGAAGTCATGAAGACAATAATATAAACAATTATAATATATTATAATTAATCTATTCTGTGGACTGTGGTATAACAAAGTTAATACTATATAAAAAAAGATTCAGATTAAAGTGATTAACAAATTGTCAATGCGTCGGACTAACCCATCTGCAATAACATATACCTAAATAGTTTTCAAAATTTGAGCGGCCTAATCTACATTAAAACTTAACCAACGTCAATCGGGTTAATGATGCTTTATATATGGTTTAAAGGGAAAGAATTTATATGTAAAAAGTGAGTTTATTATTTTCAAGTGGATTTTATAGGGAAAAAAATGTTGAAAAATAATAAAAACTAAATTAAACAATTTATAAAAGAAAAAGGAAAAAAGAAAAAGAAATTATTTTTTAAACGTAAACAAATGTATAACCATATTGGTAAATATTATAAACTATTAACATAATTCTTAATATGCAGATTATACAGATATTATAATATATCGTACGTTGATTGATAATCTTATAAAAGTTATTGTGTAGGTATCAGAAGTTTTAACGAAAACACAGCATCAATAAAAATTTCACATGTTAACTCAGAATCTTAATATTTATAGTATACCTATATATACTGATATACCAGTATACCAGTATACTTGATATACTTATACGAATCTATTCATTATTTTACCGCTAACTATAGAATGATGCCTATACTGGCTACTCCGTGCGCTGAGAGGGTCGGCCGCACTTCCAAATGACAAAATAATAAATTTATCGCTGAGGTAATTACTATTTTTGTCCGCGTCGTCGTCAACAATAAAGTTCATATTTATTATTGATAATATACGTTTATTTTTCATTTTAGATTCTGAGTGAAACGATGAATGTATTGATTTTACAATGATGTGTGTTTTTTTTTTATTTTTTTATTTTTTTTTTTTTGTGTCTGTGTACACGATAAGTAGTCGAAATAATGCTTCGATTTTCGACTTCAGTATCTTGTTCGATTGGAAAGTGAATATCGTTGGTGCATTGGGGAGGTCAAAATTTAAAATTCCCAATAGTTTTCACAAGCGCCAGGAAAAACAACATAAAAATTAAAGAAAAACGGGAATTTTTACGCAAAATCGGTTTTTGACAAAATCGAATTTGGTTTTCGGTGTAACTTTTAAACAAATGGCCGTAGATACATGAAATTTTCACTGATTGTTTATATTTGCATTTTCTATACACGATAACATTTTCAAAATATTTTGATTTATTTTGAACTGTTTAGGGACATTTTTATTTTTCATTTTTTTTTAGTTTTTTTTCTAGAAATATCAATAAAATTGTATTTGTTGGTAGCGAAAGCTTGAAAATTTAATAGAAGACTCCTAGTATATTGTTTCAAAGGCAGATGAAAAATATTAAAAATCGTTGGACACAGTTTTTTTTTATAACATTTAAAGTTCAAAAATTGACAAAATATGGAAAAATCACGAAAATTAGCAAATTATTTTGAGTTAAGAATTCGCAAAAATTTTTCTTTTTAAATCTAAGATTTGAAAATGTAATACAAGATTACTCATAAGTTTGTCTACCTTTATCAATAAAAAAATCTCTACCGGACAGTCAAATTAAATTTTTATGAGCGTTTGAAATTCAAATTTTTACAACATTGGATGTTCACTCGATTTCTCATGTGGCGATTTCCTTATTTTGTTGTTATTCATAAACGAATAACTATAGATACATGAAAATTTCACTGAATGTTTATATTAGCATTTCCTATACACCATACAATTTTGAAAATATTTTGACTCTTTTTGAGCTGTTTACGGATATTTTCATTTTTCAATTTTTTTAGTTTTTTTTTCTATGAATATCAATAAAGTTTTATCTGTTGGGCCAAAAAGTGTAAAAATTTAATACAAGGCTCCTGATATATTGTTACAATATCAGTTGAAAAATATTAAAAATACATAGGCACAGTTTTTTTTATAAGCATTTAAACATCGAATTTTGACAGAATTTTTCAAAATCTCGAAAATTATTAATCATCGTAATTAATAAATTATGAAATGTTCAGTTTTTATAGCTAAGGATTGAAAATTTAAAACAAGATTCCACGTAAGTAGTTAATTCTCTTACCAAAAAATCTAAAAAATATACAATCACAGTTTATTTTTATAGTCATTTTATGTTCAAATTTGGACGAAATTACATATTAAAAAACCTAGTTATTTTGTTGTGATTATATAATATTATTCGTGGGTACCTACTTGAAACTTCTAAAGTGTACTATTATATATCTATGATAGTATAAGGGTTTGTTATTGATGTTGATGTATAACGTGTTATAAGTACCTAATGGATATTGTGATAATGTGATATGATTAATTTGGAATTTATTATAGGTCAATTTTTTTTTTAATACCATAGATATGTATATAATTTGTCTTAAACCTAGACTGACATACCGTCTTCGCTCAGAATCGTTTTTCTTATACAATGATATATTGTATCATTGAATTCAAATTTAATAGCATCCATTATACAGTGACCCACTTGTAACCTACAGTACAGCAGAGCGACATCCACTTACCTACCTTTTTTATTATTAGTGTGTCTCTATAGTATATAGGTAATAATATAATAATATGTACTGTCGACGTCGACGTATGTCGATCGGCGCAGCTACGCGCTCTAATAATATAATGACGATTAATTTTTTACTCCGTGTATGATTTTTTTTGTTTTTCATTCCATCACCACATCATAAACAAATTATGTGAAATAAAAAGATTTTCTTAACTTCTAACATAAAACATTAAAACATAAAGAGTAAAGACCCACAAAAAAATTACGCCCACTAAAATTTTACGCCCCTGGATCAATCCCCAGCTTCTCCTCCCTAGTTCTTCCACTGACCACACTAACCAAATTGGTTCCCGTTTGAAAAAGGTAGGTTAGGTGATTACGGAGAGACAATTTGGTTATCTGTTCTGTTAGCAAACTGAAACTAACAAAAATATTTAAAATGTTTACTTTATGGTTTATGCTTATGGTATTTTATAATTTGTATACCTAGTGCCTACAAAGGAAATAATATCATTCATTCGTATTAATTATTAATATTATATTTAAGTATAAACTGATAGTTTCATGATAATTACTTTTATTATACTGCGGCGAGTAGTTGACACCTATCAAGGTAATAAACGTCTAACCGGTAACTGCCTACTGCCTACTCTACTTATAAGTTGACATTCCTAAGCCTGAATGGGAAGGGGAATGAGTGTACTTGACCATTTACTTACGAAAAGCGAGAACCAACTCTACCAGTATTAGGATAGGTACATCACAAATTTAAACGGCAACCAATTCGGATACAGCGACAATTTCGCCGTCGATTTCTATTTTACAGAAACACAGTCCTATCACGAAAGCACCAACTAAGTTGTAACGAATCTAGCGATTGGTGTCATAACACGTGACTTTCATATGTATTTAGGTATACTTCAACATTTTGACTAGGTATAACTATAATGGTAACTATATAGCTAACTATAGGTATAACTATACAGTCCACCCTCGACCCACAACACTATATACATCTTTACAATACAAAGAGATATACAATAATTATTTAAATGTAAATTCTAAGACAATACCGCATATTGATAACCAAACTGATAAGCACCTACCCACTTCGTAATACCTGAATATCTATAACTATATAGATATATACTGTATAAGGTACGCTGTTTAATTGTATAAGCAAAACAATAATTGACCAACAATCTGTCCGCAAATTTCAATCGCGGAATAATATTTTAAAGATTTACGATATACCTGTCCTACCCATAAATCATAATACTACGACTATAATAGACTCATAGTAAATACTAAATACTATATTTTATTTCGTTGTGCATTTTAAATGCTTTATCGTAGGCAAACAAATGTATAATATAATAGGCACCTACTACTACTGCTATACCATTAGTTAGAGGTATTAGTGTATTACAGCCATTCAGGTATAATACAAGCGTATATTACAATTTATAAATTATTTATAATGTGTGTGTGTATTTTTGTGGGTAAATCTTTATCAACTCACTTTTGTTCTCGTTGTTGCTGGGACTCATCTCGATTGTATCGTCCACTGAAACGTAAAAAGCAAACACAATTTATAAATACGAATCATAACAATATTCGGACTGAGCAGAAATAATATGTAGCGTATACGACGAGCTTGGCGAGGTCAATGGAATTGTACACGCGTGCATTATAATATAGTGTATCTAATATATATATATATAACATAGTGTATATATAATAATAATCGCGGGTATATACACGTTCGAGTACGTGGGCAGAGCGCGCGCATAACTTAGACGAGCCAAAAGCTAATATTAGCGTCGTCGCCGAGTGAAAAGAAAGAATACTATTCAAATACCCCACGGGCCAACCTCCACCGCGGAGATCTATTATACATACGCTGTCAACTGCCGCTGCACCACCTACGTGCAAGTGTAATGCATCACCGCCACCGACCGAATTCGACTTTCGGGCGTTCGGTCCGATCTTGGCCAAAAACAACAACAATATAAAGTATAAACACTGCCGAGAAAATTAAAACCTATATTATATGGCGCACGGTGTTTACGAGTGAATACAAAAAAAATTACACTCCTCGGATCGACTGCACAATATACATTATAGCCAATTGCCTATAGGTAGGTACTACAAATTACAATTATTATATTATATATAATATATAATATATATTCATTTATTTCAACTTCTTCATAATAATATTTACATTTAAATTAACATATTTTAAAGTTGATACCTATACTCTCAATAAGCAATCTCCTGAATTCGTTTCAAGTAATGTATGACGGGATTAACAGATATATTACGTCCGGCGCAATACAAGATTAAATAATGAAGAATGAGACGTATTGTTATTATGGAATACGTAGGTACTATCATAATGTACGAAGTCGTAACACATCGTGACGTGACTATGATAGTTTTTTTTTTTTTTTTTATTCATTCGCAGTTCAGGAAGAAAAAGTAACCCCGACCGATCACGACAGGTTTAAATTTTTATTTTGTATTTTTTGTTTTTAATAAAATTCCTTTTTGTTTCTGTTTTCCCGGATCGGCGAGTGCAGGCTAACATCATACACACGGTATACTGTATCAGCGAGAACCGGTTTGCCATCTGTCCTCAACAGCCTGTACGCACACGCACCCGCGACATAATAATATAATGTAATAGCGACGACGATGATAATAATAGATATTCGACATAACTAAACTCACGAAAACCGCAAGGGGGTTGTCACAATATTCGAAGGTGGTCGAGGGATGCAGGCCGAGACGTTCCTGGTTTAGACGCCAGTCGATAGGATTTCTTGGTTTTCAGAGAGGTGGTAGGAGGGGTAATTCACTGGAGTATATAGAATTGTGGGTAGGCAAGAAAAAAAAGCCTAGAAATATAAATGTGAACACAATATGTATACTCTACTCCTAATTAGTAATTAGTAATTACCATGTACCTATGACAAATATAACAATATCTTATAATGAAAATAATAATTAATTGTTAATTGTATAAAATAAAAATATAAATATGAACACAATATTATGTATATGTAATACTTCATGCTATATTGTGTTGTATGTTATAAGTCAAAAAACATAAGTCTTAGGTATATACATACTAAAATATTATCTGTTATCTAAATATATTTTACTATACCACCTGTTTTGTATTAGCTTATTTTATTATTATTTATATAGTTGCGTAATTTTTGTATAGGTACATTTTTTAGTATGTATGTACCTAAGGGCTAAGACTGATATTTTTTGGCTTATAGCTTGTAAGTTATAACACAATATATCATGAGTAATGACTCATGACGTATACATAATATTGTATTTATATTTATATTTCTGAGCTTTTTTTCCCTTAGTATGTTTATTTTTTTGGGATATTTTCCGAGGACTTTTTCTCCGCGTTTCAGAAATGTGGCTCAATAATATTATATAGGTACTATTATTATCCGATGCCTATAATAGTAATATAGTAATATCAGTAATATATATTATACTAGCTGACCCCTTGCACTCCGTTGCCCATTAAAAAATTACAACTCTATACGATTCAAACTTTGTTCAATTCGTTATTTAATATTCGGTGTAATTGTGTTCAAAACATCAACATTTTCATCGACCATCTTGAGTCTCAAAATACTTGTGCATGCACCACTTTAAAATGCAAATATTGGAAAATGCTTTCTTAGTTAACACTTGCACTATGCTACGATAAGGTACCATGAAAATTGCAAGCCTACAGCTAACATTGTGTAGGCGCGGATCACTGATCACAAGGACACGTTCGATTTTATTTTTATATGAATTACCGGCTTCGCCCGTGAACAGTTTTGAAAGAAACTGTATCATATCTACTTAATTTAACTAATTCAATTGATTTAAATCTACTTTTGTGGCTACACATAACATTACCACCATGAGTTGGTGGTCGTCTGCGATATTAAGGGTAGCCATCGTCACCTGTTTGTTTCAACTGCCATTTCTCACGATTAACCTTTACTACATTTCCCGTTAATCATACATGGACTATTTCTAATCATATGACTGCAAGGCCCATGTACCATATTTTTTAAGAACAATATCACATGGCAATGGATCATCTTGCTGATTGGATATCTCAGCGGATATAATTAAATCAATTTCATCTGGCTGGATTATTGTTTCTAGCCATATCAAAATATGTGCTTGAAGTAGTCCTCTTTTTTGCCATTTATTGGTATACAATATACATACTACATGTGACACTTAACTACACCGAAAATATGGTTTTTTTTAAAAACTTAATTTGTAGGATGTGCATAGTCCTCTGGTTGATAGGACGGATTCCGATCAGCATGGATAATTCATTTTAAATCTCGCATATTGGGTGGGGCATTTTGTATCGCGGTTTTAAAACTTTGAATATAATTATTACAACTATGTAAAAGAGTTTGCCAAAGTTGAATTCATTATTTTTTTTAAATTTGGCCGTATATTCTGACGTAAAGATATTTGATCCGCTTAGGAAATGAAATAAATTTGTAAAAAACGTGGATTGTTATCATTAGGAAATAAGCTACCAACTCTATGATAAATTTGTCCCTTTACTTTGAACGTGGGCATAATATAGTTGTCTGCATGAATTTAATTAGCCCTAAATGATGTCATCTAAAATTCTAATGTTATAATATAAGAAATGTTAGAAAACGAATGAGAGAATGCAAGTTAACTTTTTAGAAGTTCGGGTGGATCTGACAAGGGAAAAAGATTTACTTTGCCTCCAGAACAACACATGCCACAGTGGCGGATCCAGGGATTAATTTTTTTTTTGGGAGGGGAGCATGGAGGGGGCAAAAGTACAAAAAGTTCATACTACAAAATTGGCTAAACACAGCGTAAAACAAACTACGGTGATTCCCGGATCCCCCTGGATCCGCCACTGACATGCCATTATGCTCATCAGCCATTTTTTGCATTGCAATACTCACAAATTTGGTTCATTTTTGAAATAGAAACATGTTTATGATTTATGAAGTCAACGACCTGACGTTCATGCGAAAATGCTGATCTTGGATCATGCGAGCCTGATGATCTAAATTGACGGGATTCAGATTCTAATATTCTTCGTTTTGACATTTTTCGAGCATTTCTAGTTTTTCTAGATAACTGTGACTTTGCTTTCGGCATTTTTTATATTAAATATTGAAATTAATAATAATGTTATAAATGAATATCACAAATGATAAATATGAATAAATAAATATAAATTACAAAAATATAATATCAAAAAAAATAATGAAATTGAACCGATAGTTATCGAGCTTACTTTACTTTATTTATAATATAAGGAACACATAAAAAAAATCCGATCAAAATTGAACCGATAGTTATCGAGTTTACTTTACACAAAAAATGGGCTTACAGCTTTATATATCAACACAATCAACACATAGACCATAGACCTGATAATAGTAGACCTATAAAATAAATTAGGTTAGTGGTACTAGGTCTATGTATCAACAGTACCAACAGTAGACTACTGTCTACTATAATAACTATAGGTACTACTATAATAATACTAACAGTATTATTTTCAAACAACCGAACATCTGCGCTTCAAATGATTTTTTATAGAGTGTGAATTAAAATGTGATAGATCATAGATAACGTTTTAAAATAAGTATGTATATTGGTTTCTTATGTCAACGGTATGTATGTTGGTGTACGCGCGATGCACGAGATTAATTTTATAGATACATTTCTCGGAACAACTGATATCTACACGCAGTTATGAAACACATAATTTGACGTAGGTACAAAAATGTCAGATTGCAGGTAGGTAGAAACTAGAAACCCGCGGACCACATAGGTTTACAATATTTACAGGTTTATTTTAATTATTAATAACTAATTATTTACTAACTTTATTTGACTAAATGTATGCCTATGACATTCGTGTGTTCATAAAGAACACATAAAAAAAATCCGATCAAAATTGAACCGATAGTGTTATGGAGTTTACTTTACACAAAAAATGCACTTATAGCTTTATATATTCTACTCCGCGCCCACGTCACGAGGGAAGCAACCCGTTTCGAGCATGCAGACCGAAGTCAGCGACTATTATGAGGCCCCGTTTCGTCTGTGCCATCCGGTACCTATATTATAGATTATTCTTCTGATGGAAATCTGAGTTTATTATCGATTATAATAATTATGTTATATATACGCATTACAATCCCATTCATAAACAATAATTACATAATAAATAAACATATAATAAGATATATGTGCAATATACTGTGCAGTTAGTGTAAATTCAAATACTCCACTATCGTATATTTCTGCAGTGCAACACGAAACCGGCTAAAAACATTACCAACGCAGGTTCAATATTGTGATATGTAAATGCAAATTAAAAACTAAGGCCTAATATTTGAAAAGTATTTTTATATATTATTTAGATTTAACCACAAACGAATAAATGATCAAATCGAAGGTTAGGTCAATAGAATAGATTACAGTGGAATGATGTACGTTATCTGTATATTTTTGTAT